AGGGTGAGTTCTGATGGAGAAAATTGCGAATTAGGTATAGAATTCTGATTTTTCCCAGTAAAGTCGACTTTTCTCAGTGAGAGAACAAAATTTTATAAAGACCACACATATTTTTGTTGACTGTCGATGAGCGAGTCGAATGATAGGTGAATATTGGGAAAAACGTTTCAAACAAAAGACTACATAGGCCTGCAGGAAGCGCGTGTCACTCTGCTCCTAGTCGAGCTTGCCGAGGAAGAGAACAGTGATCAAATACATCCGAATCTACATACTCTTACTCAGTTTTTGATGCTGAATCCGAATAAAATGGTTTCAGAACAGTAGAATTAGTGTAAAATATCCAAAAGTTAAATTTTCTCAAAACAGGTCAAACTTTCATTTTTTGAGGGGTAACTTGGTTTTTGAAGATTTCTTACCCAAAACTTTGTTAAAGATGTATAAAAAGAACATATTCGGAATCTTCTCGAGATCTATCCAACCATGTATGATTAGGCCAAGTCAAATTTCTACTCCGCTTTTGCATTTCCGGCATCTTACAAAACATGAATTTTTCGTTGAGATGTGTTGAAATGCTCATCTTCACCACCATCACCGCAAGTTTTTGTTATTGATAATGCGGAACTGAGTAACTGTTTCCATTACAAAAGCGTGTATTACGTCAACATTCGGCTGGTTACCAACCTTGTCCTATGATAGCAGATACTATTACTAAAAATGTATATAACACTCTTGAATTCGCACTGCAGCCTGCATCGGGATAAATGACTTATTTGTTTCTATTTTTCTATGTTGTCGATTCGATGCTAGGCTCTCTGTCTCAGTTGCAGTGATACCTACTTGTACCTTAAATTCTTCTAGACAACGACAATACTACACACTTGATCAAGCATTTCATCAGTTTTCAACGATTGTCGGTTATACTAGGAGAATAAGCATGAGCGAAATAATGTTCTTTCGTCTCATTGTTTCACCTTATCTGATGATATATCATCATAAAATGTTTGAAAAAATCGTTTGTGATTAAGATATGTAATGATTCTTAAGCACGAGCGGCGTAGTATAAACAAGATATAAATGATTGAAGGGATATTTATATGACAAATAAGAAAAAAAACACAACAAAAAAATAACCCAGAGGGAACAAAAGAAAATAACACATATTCAAATCGAGATACAAAGATAGCTACACATAAAGGTATTTTTCTCTCTTTCTACCAAAAATTTATCAGACCGTTTTCATCATCATCATCCGTAAAAGAATTATCGTCTACCCATGGAAAATCTCTTGCTATTACATCCGTATTTTGTCCATCAATATCTGGATCTACATCTGATAAATTATCATCTGAATCATCATCCTCTCCATCATCAAATAAAAAGTCATATTCATCAAATATTCGTCCAAAATCTTCATGTGAAAATACACTAACCATCAATACATCGCTAAAATTTTCTAATTCACCGCGAGCATTTAATCGTCGGCGACGTCTGGGTGGTGCTAATGTGATTGTATTGCCTTGTCTATCAGCATGTAAGTAAAAACACTTTGATCCAAATGGACAGTGTCCATCACCACGTTTAAAATGTTTACAATGCATGGACCTAAAATAAACAAAGGAACAAACATTAATACACATCATTTTTGTTAAATTAAAAGATTTATTAGTTCTATAATTAAGAGTTAGATGCTCGTCTCATTTTGTTGCATCATCACGATTAGACAATCATTCTATGGTCGAATACTCGTTCCTAAGTAAATAGTCCAACACATACTTCAAATGTGCTTTATAATCTTCAATAATTTTCTGTTTTTCATCGTCACTTTCATGCCAATATTTGGCTGGTGTAACAAAATCTGATTTAACTCGACATTCAGGACATGCTAAAAATACAATAATGATTAATTAAACTTAAATAACAGAAGACAGAATAAGAAGATATAAACAAACCTTTAACAACTTTATGTTCGTAATTCGATGATGATCTCCATTTCCGAATACATTCCAAACAGAAAATATGATTACACTGTTCTAATATTCCAAAACGTTTATCACCATCTTCTTTATCCCAAACAATTTCCATACATATTCCACATACTTTATCTTGGCTACGCTGAACAGCAAATGCTTCTTCACATGCTGTTTCATGTTTTTTCATACACTCCTGAAAACAGATTAAATAAATCACTATGCTCAGACCACAATAAAAAATATTTCACTCTCAATATATTTTAGCTCCCACATTTGCAGAACCAGATGGCATCTTAAACCTAAACAACGTCATGCAATTTACACGAATGTGAAAATAAAAGTAAATAACCAAGATAGAAAACCAATTTCTACCTAAATTCTCTAAAATCTTCTTAACTAATCCTACTATATTAAAAAACACTATTTAACGTTGTGAACTGATGGCTAAAGGTTAAAATTTTCGTTTCTCTCAGATAAAAAAATGGTCATTGCTTAACCATGTAAACAGAGTACTTTGGCGTTTTAACCTATTATCAAATCAATTTAGCGCAAATAGTTTTTTATATTCCCGTCATCTCGTACCAGTCTATGTTCGTCTCGTTGTTTTTCATTGTATGGATGCATACATGGCATTTGACATAAATCACATAAATCTCCATGAATATATGGACAATAACCGCCGCTTTCGTTTGCTTCACAATAACCATCTTTTTCAGAATATGGACACAAAGATTGTAATGATAAATATACTGTTTGAGGAGAAGAAAAAGGATGCTGTTCTTGAATTTCAAAATTACTATTATCATTTAACGATATTGAATCAGTTCCACGACATATATCTGCATAAGAAGTAACTCCTTCAAAGATAACAAATCGACATTATAAGTACTCTGTTCATCAGCCAGTAAGACAACATACCATTTATTTTTGATATCGAAGGTGTTAATGATACTAATTTTGAATCTGAATCATTCTCTGGAGAATAATAAGTTTGAGGTGTTTGAGACAAAGTGGCTGATTGTGCAGATGTATTTGGCTTTTGACGAATATGATCGTACCTAAGAAGACAAATACACATCATTATTTTTAAGCAAGTTGTAATAACTAGGTGTAACTAGATTGAAAAACATATGCGTTAATATTGCGTCATTCCACCAGTAGAAAGTACTTGAGCAACCCTCGAATTTCTTTACTAAAAATTAGTCGCATATTTCACACTGTAGGTGGATAAAATCGAATGAGATAGTATGTCGGAATGATATCTTAACAAATTACTCTCGGAGATACGTCTATTGTACTCTATTACACAGAGATGCATAATATTCTCTTTAGTTTTCTTTGTTTACCTGCACTGATCTCCATATACACATTTTCCTTGTAAATAATATCGGCAAATATTATTTGGTTTTGCTAAAGTTCTATCATGTGAAAACATACAACGATCGCCAAAGCGACACACATTACTCAAAAAATATCTAAAATAAAAAGATAAACACAATGTCATTCCAACATCCGTAGTTAATTATCTCTTCGGCGAGTACTTACCGACAAAGCTCCTTTTGTGAAGCAATACTTGCTGCCATTTTTCGCCTTCAGTTATTCCTAGCTAATATTTATTTCTTCAAAGAAATGAGGCTTGTATAGACTAGTGTGCATACATATGTCTAAAATAAATATTAGCAAATACTTCGTGACTATAATGCAATGAAGAGTTACAGAGAAAAAAATGTCCCTATATGAGTGAGTAATAATCGTGAAAGATCAAAAGTAAAATCGAGAGGTTTCTACATACGTAAAGAATACAGATATACATGTCATTTAGCTGAGATTTCTTGCATGATAAGGACGCAGCAATCAGCATACGGAAGCTAATCAAAAGGAGCAGTAATAAAGAAAAATCACCAATAAATCTGTTGACCAGCTAGGTCAAAAAATGATGCCTGTTATCATATATAAGAAAACGGTTTAGATAAGTTACCATGACATGGTTGAATCATAAAAAACTAGCCAGCTTGAATTTAATAGAACTTGTACCTCCAACATTTTTACCATTTTCCAAACAAGCACTAGAAGAAATCAGCATTCAAAACTAAAAAAAAATTTTAAGTTTAGTTTACCTGAACTTGTTACACAATTTAATCTTTAAAAAGAAAGCGGGACAAATTTATTTTATATTATTTGCGAACATGAGAATTCTTCATTGTCTGTTGATTCGTTGATGTAGTCGGGCATTTTTCCTGATTAATCAATTTTTCGAAGCTAAATTGGCGGAATAATTGACTAATGAGAGCACAAGAAAAAATCTTTTTTTTGGAGCTAGCTTAACCTACATATAAAAGGAAACATTTACTAGCTGCGCCTTGTTTCTACTTAGCTTAACGTAAGTAACTGTTACTTTCAACCTAGGTTAAACTAGCGCAAAACATTGTTTTTGCTTGGCAGAGAATGGGTATGGTAGTTGTTGTTCTCAGAAAGAAAAGTGTTTTCTACAGTTAAATTCAGCACCCCCTATATAGTACTAGAAAGAGCAAACGCCAGTTTGGTAATGTAGTCATAGCTGATGTTAGATATTGATGAAAGTGCGTTTTCTCTCAAGCACATGCACAGATTTTTAAATGCATCTGCAAAAATTTAAAGTGCAGTTCTAGTGCTGTTAACTGCATATTGTAGTGCATACACTTATGCCGTTACTTATTTTCGTGCAGATCCTTCTATTCCGATTTACATCAAGCAAAAACCGTCAAGTTTTCACTGTGCTAGTTTTTTCAACCTACTTCTGTTGTTGTTGTGCACGAATTCATGCGCTTTATACTTCATTCTTGTGTTGAGTTGTGCACGAATTCATGCTTTTTTCCAAGACAGCCGTGTTAGTTTTGCAGAACGGCAAACATACAGTACGAACATACAGCACGATTTTACTAAAATTTACAAAAAGTTGGTCTAACAAACATCAACTGTAAACTTTAAAAAAATTCCCAGATAACTATTTAATAAAACTAAGGTAGTCGTTGTTACGCGATAGGTCTCGAAGTTACAAGTGTCAAAGCGATCCAGAAATAAGTTCAACAAAATATGTTAGAAATGAGATTTTCAATGCAAACCTGCTATACAATGGTGAAAAACTAAGACATTTATAGACAAAACGTGAGTTACTCCTTACTCGATCTAATGGTAAAGGATAACCTTTTAGCTATTGTAGTTTTCAAGTTACTTGACATAGAAAGGATTCATTGTAGCTCAAAATCTTCATATCTGACTTCGATTTTCTTCGAAACTACACATCGGTTTTTCTTCGCAACTTGTTCCTGAAGAGTACTTTAGTACTACTCACAGTAAGTTCTCAGATGTACTGTATTTAGACTATTTTATATCCTATCTACAAAAAATCTATAAAAAAGTACTTACTAAACTCTATGGTTTCCAGAAAAGGTTTCTAGAAAACTTCTGAGCAAAAACATGGGTTTTTAATTTTTTGATCATATAATCACATTGAGTGAGCCAATTAACCATATCCTGAACTTTTAGGCTGGTTCTAGTGTTTTCTGAATGAATAGTAAATTTTTTAATATTAGTGGAAAATCGCCTGAAAACTCTAGTTTTTGTAAAACTTGGTTTTCGCTAAATTTTTAGATGTTTCTGTAATAAAAAAATATTACCGCCAGACTCGGTGTGGTCGATTACCAATAATACATTCGTTTTCGAGTTTGCTGATAGTCTCCGAGTGCTAATTATGGGACTCCAAGGAAACCTGATGAAGAATCGTTGAAAATCAAGGTCTCGTTTGACTACCATTTTAAGGCGAACGCTTTCGACTATGAGTCCATGAAAAAATACCAAAGCAATCCTATTGAAAATTGCTGAGACACGGCCTGGTTTTCTAAAGACCAACCAGAAAGCCCGTTTTAAAAAACCTTCTCTTTATGGAAACATGTACCCGACTTTTTTTTGAATCATACACAGCACGCTACTCCTTTTCTGTCAAAAGTTGCTCCAAAAACAACTATATACCCTTCTTTTTTCCAGTTGGATGATGTTAATACTGCACAAAGTAAAAGCAAGTATTCCACTACAGGTAAGTTTTGATGCTCATTTAAACTTATCATCCGATGAAATTCAAAAATCAATGAAGTTTATGTATCTGTACATGCTTAAGAAATAGTAATGAAGATTTTATCTTACGCATGAGATGTGTAGATATGAATATTTAGTTCCAACAGTTTCAGAGACTACGAGTAAAAGCCATAAAACTCAAGAGCGACATTTTCAATTTTTTTCCTTCTGTTTCATTGCAGCGTACTCAGCTGTTTTGTTCGATAGAAAAAATATTCGGTAAAGACTAGTGTTTGGATTGAAAAAATGCTCTCTGACGGAGTGGGAAGGTGTTTCAGAATACAAATGTACATGGTTCAGCTCAGCTTTTCATGCTGATCAGAAATTTTTTATTCACATGTAGGTCGCTAATAGTATGATTCTCATTGATGTCATCATTATGAAAATCATTGCTAGCCTTATGTGCATACCTTACCCGGACATTGTGTTTTATTTAAAAAAAACTGAGCACACCATACTACGTATAAAAATCAAGCATGAATCGCTCTCACAGTATCAATAATGTTTTTGATGGCCACCATTTGTGGTCCTTGTTTATTTGCATAATTGACGTTACCATAACCCCACCAATCGAAACAACCATTTGGGTTGGACGGAAAAGTAGATGATTTAACTTGTGGATAGATGACAATAATATTATTCAATTCTGCCACTTCATTGTAACCAGCTTTCGATGCAAACACATTACTGACAAATTGTTTACCTTGTTTACATCCGTGTAAAGCAACATGAATCGAACAACCTTTACCTTTTGTACAACCAGATGGAACATACAAATAACCAGTTGTATCGAATCCGATCGAGCTGGCTGATGATGATGTGGCGGTTGTTATTCCTGGTAATGTAATGTTAGGTAGCGTTATGCCCGATAAGCCCGGTAGATAATTGGCTGGATTGTATAATGCGAGTGTGGCATCAATCCATTGTGACCACAAATCAAATACTCCACGTGTATTTTCTTTCATTATTGATGGATTAATAAATAATCCTTGATCGAATTCAATCAATTGTCCACCCAACGTTGTTGTGCCCGTTGGTTTCACTAAATTTCCGCCGTACAGATGATTTAACATATCATAGGCTAGATTAAAATTGCAATTGTTGATATAATTTTGTGAATTTAATGTTGTACAACTACCACCAAAATTATCTGTCACAAATCCATGATTCGCTTGTGAATCGTAGTTTGTTTTCAAATTTATATTGTAGGGCTGATATATTTGTTCGTTAAGTTTAACCACACCCTCAACGACAGTCCGATCAGTTTTACCATGAAATATGTAAACAGGATCACCATTTAAGTTATTTAATGAATCTACTGTGCCGGCACTTGCATAAGATTTTAGTTTATTTTGAATCGCCGTAACGCCAACAGAGGTGGCTGGACCATTCATACATGCACCAATGGCAGTTAACATACTCCCTGTGAATGGAGACAAAACATTAAGAACCAAATTCGAATTTCGATAAACAACTCGTGTTTTCTTTCTCCTGATTAATTTCAATTCATACCTTGTGCGCAATAATATGGCGGTCCGGTGATAATACCAGCGGCCGATATATCTTTTGAAAATGCAATGTGCAATTGCGTTGCCATTGACCCACCAGCAGATAATCCTGATACGGTGCAATCAGTTCTTGGTGCACCATCGGTCACTGACAGCGACACATACAATAAGAAGAGTATCGACCACATTTCGGGAGTGTTGTAGTATGAATGAAAAATATATTCCGTTAAAATAAAATATGCCGATTCTTTTTAAATAATAATAACCATTTGTCCTAATGCTGGATAATTTCTTTACCAAAATACATCACATTGCTGCTTTCAGATACATTCTTACTGGTACATTTGAATATAATTGTCTATCTAACTATCATCATTAACATTCTCAAGATTAAGACTAGTTAAGCCCTATGAAGCCAAGATAGAAAAGCATTAATTGGAAATCATAAAAAATAAAAACGTAGTCATTATCGACAGGTGTCTAATTTTCTTTTGTTTTCAATCTAATAAGCTTATCGACGAAAACGAAACGACATATTTTATTTTAACGGAATATATTTTTCATTCATACTTTGTGCGCACCT